AACAAAATCAAGAACCAAAACAAGCCCTTCCTCTTTTGTTATGTCAGGCATTCTATTTCAGGTAATGTTCTAGCTCCATAGCATGATAGCATGCCAGTTGTTCCCCTTATGATGGAGTTGTGATTACTACTGCTGCCCAGCATCACAAGTGTTTCATATCACATATCAGTAGCTTGGGGAAAAAAAATCACAGTTTGAAGTATCGTTGCTACCTAACATGTATTGCTTTCACACCATCTATAAAATTGAAAGAAATCATAAGTCAAATCATTGTAAATTAGGCCACTGTGTATATAGAGAAGAAAATTCTTGCTATTCATTCTGGAAATGTTTATTTTCAAGAAGGCATGGTTTACTGTGTTGTGCCTAATTGAGACATCAGGTGGCAGTGTGTTTATTGAAATGTTTCAGAGGAGACCCAACAGGAGTAAACTTTATTCTAAGAATAATCCTATTTAATGAGCCATGATCAAAAAGCCACCTTGATTTCAATCCACCACCTCAGTACTTGTGCTCAATATAAAAAACTCTACATGCAGGGTTTATATACATAGACAAAGACACAGACACACACACACGCACACACAAAGGGGAGACCCAACAGGAGTAAACTTTATTCTACGAATAATCCTATTTAATGAGCCATGATCAAAAAGCCACCTTGATTTCAATCCACCACCTCAGTACTTGTGCTCAATATAAAAAACTCTACATGCAGGGTTTATATACATAGACAAAGACACAGACACACACACACGCACACACAAAGGGGAGACCCAACAGGAGTAAACTTTATTCTACGAATAATCCTATTTAATGAGCCATGATCAAAAAGCCACCTTGATTTCAATCCACCACCTCAGTACTTGTGCTCAATATAAAAAACTCTACATGCAGGGTTTATATACATAGACAAAGACACAGACACACACAAACACAGACACACACACACACACACACAAAGGGGAGACCCAACAGGAGTAAACTTTATTCTAAGAATAATCCTATTTAATGAGCCATGATCAAAAAGCCACCTTGATTTCAATCCACCACCTCAGTACTTGTGCTCAATATAAAAAACTCTACATGCAGGGTTTATATACATAGACAAAGACACAGACACACACAGACACAGACACACACACACACACAAAGGGGAAATGTCTGAAATAATATATTGGATAGTTGTAAAAGTCCTCTTGACTTACCAAGTTACCGTCTGTTTCTTTTTGAGTGGTATTTCATATTTGAATTATAATGAATTCGATGATACAAAAATGTTAATTTATTTGCCTAATGAATATTTTAGTATCAACCAAAAAGTAAGTGGTAGGCTTCTATATATATTACCACTAGAAAATGAACTGCGTATTACGTGTCACCGAAGACAGAGGCTGACACCTCCCAAAGATACAAATGAAATTGGAAACTTGGATTGGAGTCCTAAGCATAAGTCAAATACAGGAAGGGTGTAGATTCTCACGCTCCAAATACCAAAAAGACATTTTCTCCTGGATGGCCAAGGCTGCTAAATAATGAGGAAATTTACAAATTATGCAAACTTTCTGATCTATTGAAGCAGACTTTCTGATTTGTTGAATTCTTCCAAATTCCATCCTGCTTTAATGATCACATCTTCAGAATGCACCTTGACGCTTGGCAGAGCAATTTGTCCATCTCAAATTATCTAGGTGTATTCTCCCAGTTAAATTGTATAATTAGCCTGTCTGGTTCCATTTGCAGTATTGAGATTTTGATTAAGACTATACTGCATTCGTACGTTAATCTGGGTATACTAATAACTTTATAACTCAGTCTTTCATTCTATACAATATTTCCCTGTATTTGCCTAAGATTTTAATAGTGGCCTTATGCAATTTTTGCTTGAGTTATGTCATGTATTTTCATTTTTGTGATTATAGTGAATGGGATAATTTTCTTGTTAGGTTTACAGGAAAATATTTGATGTGGAGATGTTGATCTTCGTTCTAGACATTTATTAAATTCTTACTAGTTCTGGTATTTCATCATGGAGCCCGTGTTCCTATCCGTGTTGCTGCCTGTCCTCTTTCCCCACCATCTCTGCCAATTTCTTCTTACCATTAGAACACCAGTGTCTTCCCTTTATACCCCAAGCCCTGATTCTTCAGATTACTTGGGGGTGAGGCTTTAAAAGCAGAAACTTCAAACAAAACAAAACAACCCAAACCTGGTACTTTTCATTTTAATAAGGTATTTTGGTTTTAGAAGTTCCACAAAGCAAAATTTCTATTACACATTGTATATCCCCACTGTGCCTAAATACAAGATCACATTGAGCATGAAAAGATCCAGACTCCCCTGATACTAATGCAAAACGGTATTTTTTGCTACTTTGAATATGTTTATAGACTCTTTAAAACCTTGTCCAGGGTCAGTGAGGTGGCTCAGTGGGTACTTGCTGCCAAACCTGACAATCTGAGTTTAATTTCTGGAACCCACATGGTGGAAGGAGAGAACTCACTCCTGCAAGTTGTCATCTGACCTCCACACATGTGCTGGGGCATGTGTATACACGTGTGCACACATAAAAAACAAAACATTTAAAACACCTTCGTCCACATATCACAGCTTATTTTTATTATACATATACTTACAAATATCTTAGATATGAAATTTTCATTAGTCTAAGATTTCATGAAATAATTTGATCTAAACTCACTTGCATCTTAAAAATCAGTGATGTCACTAGAGCTACATCATGCAGCATGAAACGTTACCACCATCCCTAAGTGATGGTTTGAGATCCGTCATTGAATCTATGAATGATGCTGCCTCTGGGAAAATTTCATCCCCCAAGATAAGTATTCTTTGCTTTCATCAGAATTTTTTATTGTTCATGCAGTAGCGTATTTATGGTCTCCACAGAATAAATAGTCACTGCACTTTTAACGCTAAGCTCCACTGAAGTGTAACACCCACGCACAAGTGTATATATGTATGGCCTGATGAACTTTCAGAGTGAACCTTCTCACACCATCCTCCAAGTCCCTCCATTTGGGCCCGGTCCTCTTTTGCTATGGCTTCACATTGTCCTGTTTCTACCGCCACAGATGAATTCTGTCTGATCTTGGGCCCTTATGTAAAACAGCAACAAGTGATTCATATGGAATGGAAATGTCTGGATTCTGTTGGCTTTCTATGTTGCTACATCTACTTATAATGTGGTCATTTCCATTAAAGCAGACTATTTCATTGTATGAATTATTTCAGTTTTATTTTTCTATTGCAGATGGACATTCCGCTTATTTCCAGATTTGGGCAACTCTGAATTGTGCTGTTACTGACCATCTTCTTGTGGACTGTAGATGCATGTTTGTGTGGTCATACCTTGGAATAGAACAGTTGCATGGGGTCATGCAAATTATGTTCAACCTTAGCAGCCACCCCACCCCAGCAGTGACAGTGCAGGGCACTGTTGTCAACATGGGGTTTTTCTGTTTTCATTATAGCCACTCAGGTGGGTGTGCAGTGGCATCACTCGGGTGGGTTTACAACGGCATGACATTGTGTTGTTGTTGCATTTCCTAATTATTTTTGTGTGTGAAACGGCATCTCTACCTCCTTTGTGGCTTGCCTTTTAATTTTGTGTTTGTGGACTGGGGATTGAACCTAAGGTCTTATGCAACTATTTTCCTATAATGATGTGCCTATCTGCTTAGGTCAGTCCTGTGCATTGCTATGAAGTTCTTGTCAGTTGACTTCAAATAAGTGAAAGAAAAATCTGGTGGGCCCACTCGATAAGTTAGAAGGCATCAGAGGAAAGACTGGGGCTTCCTTATTAGAGAACAAAGGCCTGGCACTGTTATATATAGTTCATGCTAGGATTCAATCTGCTCTACTAATATTAAACGGTAATGACTTTTAGTGTATCTACACTTGTATTTATTGTGACAGATCTAGAATCACTTAGGAGACAAGACTCCAGGCATATCTGTGGGGATTATGGAGGCTGAGGAGGGAAGACCCACTGATGTGGGCAGCACCCTTCTATGGGCTGAGGTCCTGGACTGAACGACAAGGATAAAGCAAGCCAAACAGCAGCATCCATCCATCTCTAGCTGCCTCTTCAAGCTCCTGCCACCATGACATCTCTCTCTCCCATTGTGGACTGTGCTTTCAACTGTGAGCTAAAACAAATCCTTTCTCCCTTAAATTGCTTTTTTCAGAGTATTTTATCACAGCAACAGGAAAAATAATACATCTAAATAGATTTTAAACCAGATGTGCCTTCCTTGTTATTTAATATTCATTCTTACTCAATGTTGCATATGTAATCTTGGTATTAACAGAAAATTCTAGACTAAAAGCAATCACCCTCCTCTTAAAGTGTTTGTCTATTAAGTTCTTCAGGGAGTACTATTGGTACTTAAGAGGCTAATCACTTTTTGATGCACACTCAAGTTAAATTTCTCTGAGTGACTAAGAGAATGTATTTGTTTATATAACGTAAAATCCACAAGTATTTTCAGTCTTGAATAATCTGAAGAGCCTTAACAAACCTAAAACCAATGTTTGCGATAGCTCAATAGGTAAGAAAAACCTCACTGGACCAGAGCCAAGGAAGCCTGTTTCCTAATCCTAGCTGTCTCACTGATGGCTGTGTGATAACGGCACATCCCTTCAACTCGGCTGTGACTATGTCCCTGTTCTGGTCATAGCCAACTATTGAATAGTCAGCTTCTGAATGTCAACTAAAAACTAAGTGCTTGGAGACAGAGGAGAGAAGAATGAACGTGACAGGCAGCCAATGCCTTCAAAAGTTTAAAGTCTGGAAAAGTGAGGCATTTGGGCTGAATCAACCTTTAAATCTCCCTTCTGGAGTTGACACGCTGTGCCTTGAATAGGGCTGTACTCATATTCCGTGCCTTGACAAGGACTTCCAAATGGTTCTGAAAATACTGTCAAGTATTAAAGGTTTCCTATGTGAATACTGGTAAAATAACATTTTAAATCAGAAAGAAATTTTACATATTTATTCAGAAAGGTGATCCAACTGTAGAGGGATGTTCTTTTGACATGAAATCCACCATTTTGAATACTTTTTCTCAGTAATTCTGTTTAACTTCTATAATCCTGATGAGATTCTCATCTGGAGTTTTTCATGCATTCAGATATTTTGCATGATGCCTGATGTGGTCGGCCACGAAGGTTGCAATGAAGTAGTAGCCGTGATCATAACCCTGAGGACAAAATACACACAGGTTTATCCACCCTCAGGAACCGCAATGTTAAATTATCTCTCTTGCGATTTGATCACCTAGTTCTCTTGTCATTTGACTTTCTTATACACAGTCGAACCACTAAAAGTGAGGTTTAATCAAAACAATGTGGTCACAACTGACAAGAAGAAGAATCAGGACTTAGAGAGATTAGAAATGGGCAAGGCATTTGAATTCTTAAAAGAGGCACACCTGACAAAATAAACAGAGCCACTATTAAAATATAAAGGAAGTAAACATAAACAATAGAGAGAAAGAACACCAAGATGCCAAATAACTTTATCATTGCTGAAGAAGTCAACCACAGCCATCACAAATCAAAGTTAAGAATTCTACCTCTGGGATGGGGTGACAGCTTGTGGTAGAGTGTCTTCCAAGCATGACGATGTGAGTTCAATCCCTAGAGTCCAAATTAAAAAAAAAAAAAAAAGCCAGCTCTGTGTGGTAGCTGCACTTGTAACTGTGTGGGGTGAAAAAGGGTGGATCCCTGGAGCTCACTGACCAGCCATCCTTAGCTTATTTGGTAAACTCCAGGTCAGTGGGAAACCCTGTCTAAAAAAAAACAAAAGTGGACAGTGCCTGAGGAATGACACCTGAGGCTATCCTGTGGCCTTCACATGCACAAACACACACAAGCAAAGAGAATTCTGCCTTCTACACATATCCTATGTTCATTTGAGGAGAAAGAAATAATCCATTAAAACCCGTATCAAATGGGACAAAAATGTATAAACTTTTTGAAGAGTACCATAAAACAGAAGGAAAATGTAAGAAGCCAAGCAGCTGAGACATCTTCATCTATCCATTAAAACCACTCTTACAGGAAATTGAGAAACTATCTTCTCTGAGTTCAAAATAAGTAGCTTTGAAGGAAAAAGTGAAACATGTTAAGATGGGAAGAAAATTATAAAAAAATTCTTTTTTAATTTTGTGTGCATGAGGGTATTGCCTGCATGTATATAAGTGCAGTATGTCATGCAATGTTCTTGGAGGTCAGAAGAGGGAGCTGGATCCTCTGGAACTGGAGTTACAGATGGTTGTTAGCCACCATGTGGGTTCTGGGGCTTGAACCCGTATCCTCTACAAGAGCCACCAGTGCTCTTAACCACTGAGCCATCTCTTCAGCCCCAGGAAGAACTTTTAACAGTGTTAAATGCCAAATAATTTTGGAACCACTATCACCTCAATCACAATGTAAAAACAGGTAAAATAAACTGAAGAAATGAAAGTCTAAGAAATACACACACACATACACACACATGTATTTTCATTTTTACTTAACTAGCAAATGGTTTCTGATGAGGGAAAGTGGGAATTTCTTTAAGCATGTAAGAGATAAAAACAAGTCTAAATAAAAAAATGTTTTAAGGAATAAGGGAAATTCCTAAGGTTTTCATGAATCATTAAATGTTCCTGCTTTTACTTCCAGAGAGACATGGAATGTAGACTCTGGGAACAGGAGTTAATAAAAGTTCAGAGGAAATGGGGCTGAAGAGATGGCTAAGCACTTGAGAGCACTGGCTGCTCTCGCAGAGAACTGGGATTTGATTCCCAGCACTCACATGACAGCTAACAACCACCCATAACTCCAGTTCCAGGGGATTTGACACCCTCTTCTGACCTCCACAGGCAATGTATGACATGGGTGCACTTACATACACACAGGCAAAACATTCATACATATAAAATAAAAATAATAAATAAAATATTAATTTAAAAAAAGTTCAGAGGAAAGTCATCAAAATAACTTAAAAGGAATATGTCTTCAATGTGGAAGAAAATCTGACAGGAGGGTTGTTAGGATCAAGACCAAGCCTGGGAATTACTTGATTTCAATGATTAGAGCAGTACTAGGCCTGAGAACACATGTGAACTACTGGCATTCTGCCAAAGGTACACAATTACAGCTAACTGTGTCATCCTTGACATGGTTCAAGTTCTGTTTATCAGTCTTAATAGATGGGGAGGCTTTTTTTATACATTCTTTGACTAAGGAGGTGATTTGCTATGTTCAGCAACTCATGCAATTGCCTATATTTAGTGACACTTGAAGGGCCTTTTCTCCTCTACTCCAAACTTTAAATGGAAAATTCCTCGGTGGGAAAACCTGACTATTGGGAGTATAAAAATAAACACATTCTTCCATTCTTCACTCAGCTCTCCAAGTGGCATGTTCCTATGGACAGTTATTCTAAAAGGCACTGTATTCTGGCATATTTTCTAGATCCAATTAGAAAAGCTCAGATTGAACCCTCAAGGTAAAGTCCCTTCAGAGTATGAAGAAGACTGTTGAAAGATATTCTTTATTTAAAAGGCACAGAAGGTCCATGTGCTAGATAATGATCTTATACAGAGACCTGTCAGAGATCCCTGCGTTTCTAGAATTCTCTGGTATGTTCTTTTTCTTTCCCAAGAGGCAAAGGCAGAGGTCAAAATAGCCTCTGAAGCTTCAAAAAGGTCCTGAGACCTTTTTGAAGAGGAAGGCTGCCTCCTTTCCCCCTCAACTCCAGGAAGGGACTGCTGCTTCTGGATGCTTCCTCAGTATCAGGGCACTTCACTTTTCTCCTTATCTTGTAACTTCAGTTATTAAAGACAGGACATAGTACGCCCGATTTTTTCAGACTAAGATTTGATGTTTGTATATACTAGCTATCAGAGTACCCTTTTCAATTTAGATCCCATGAAGCCCCCTGATTAAAAACTATAAAATATTCCCATGAACTAATCCTTGCTTCGCAAATTCTCAATCTTTTTTTCAAAAGTTATTAATTTTTTGTGCTAAAGTCTCACTACGTGGTCCTGGATGATCTGGAATTCTTTATGTAGATCAGGATGGCCTTGAACTCACAGAGATCCACCTGCCTTTGCTTCCCCAGTGCTGGGATTAAAGGAGTTTGACTACTATATCAGGCTCAAATAATCTTTTTTTGACAACTGACAAAGCATCAGATATAAATTCTGGGCATTTAACATTACAAAAATAACCATAAGACTGAAGAAAGGTAAATCATGGATATGATTGTGGTAATTTTTGTCTTTCTTTTTAGGTCATTTATTTAGGTATACCACTTTTTCAGCTTAATTTTTTTTTATAACTCCTATTTCACAAAGAAATAGTTATATAATACTTGTAATGAAATGATTAGGCAGGTGATTAAAAAATCATCTCTCAAATCTGAGGAAATCTGAGGTCAATGTAAGTTGACTAGGAAATGTGCACTATCCATTCTGCTGACTGGATTACAGCATGCCTAATGCAATCACTTCAGACCATGTAGTTACTCTTCCTGACCTTGCTGCAAGGAAAATGAACAAAAAACTGTGCCTGAGTTCAGGACTGTGGTTGGTGACCTTAATAAGTTGGCATGCTTTTAGAATCGACTGTTCTGTTGGCTCCTCATAAGACAGCCAACCTAATTTTCTCCATTGCTTAGGATATAAGCATTTTAGAAATGAGTATGCTGATTTGTTTTTCCCTCTCTAACAATGTCACCCATATTTAACTCTAGGATGTTGTTATAACAAACTCCAGAGATTTTTAGACTTTGCTGGCAGGCAGAAGTTTTGCAGAAAAAAACAGAATTTCCTGGCACAGCCTCAGGGGACACAAAGTACCCCATAAGCTAATGCCAAGCAGGAAGGTCATTTGGACAAAAGCATGATTTGGTACATCACTTATAGCTATAGTTAATACAGTTAAACACACTGCTGACTTTATAATAAAATTGGCATTGGGATTTCTCAGATTGGCTATTGATATAAAATGTAATTGTGATGGCAAATGTTCAAATAAACCTAATCCAAACTTTATTACTTAAGGATAGATACTCAGATATATCAGATATATATGCATATTGGTTTTAGTCACATTTCCCATATCTACGTGTATATATACATTCACATAAATGTCACATGTTTGAATACCCTTTGTATTTGAACATGTGACATTTATATAAATGTATAAATGTGTAAATTAAAGTGGTAGCAGGTTATGGTGATTTTTCCTTATGCTGGCCCTAACTCATCCTTTGGCTCTTTAGGAGCACATTACATTGTCTAGAAAAGGCTAGAGAGATGATGGCACAGAATTTGTGAGGCGCTTGTTTACAGTCCTGGTTCCACCATTCACCAGTGGTGTGACCTTAGATAAAAGAGTTATTTTCTCTAAGAGGCAGAAAAGGACTGAGCTCTCATTTGGTAGTACAAAGACTGCAGATGAGTCAGTGCCATAAAAACACTGTGTGAACACTGTTAGAACATGTTACACAGAGACTAACTTATCTGAACATTTACCATCCTAAGTATACTTTAGGTCCACATGTCTGACATATTACTTTTAAATTTCAACAAATATGGGCCTGGAGAGATGGTTCAGTGGTTAAGAGCTCTGGCTATTCTACCAGAGGACCTGAGTTTGATTTCAAGCACCTACATGGCAGTTAACTGCTGAAACTCCAGTTGCAAGGGATCTGATGCTCTCTTCTGACTCTATGGGCATTGCATGACACAGGTGTACTGACATGCAGGCAATACACTCATACACATAAAAAATTTTTTTTGATAAATACGTTTTTAAATTCATGATCAAATATAATTTTCAGTATCCATTTCTCATCCTAAAATGAAGATTTTTGTTTATATCATGTTCTGAAACTTATGAGTATTTTTAAAAAAGAAAAGCAGAATTTCTTAAAACTATAGAACCACAAATAGGCAGACAGAAGTATTATTTTAGTCAAAGAAAATTTGCAAGCCAACTGAAAAAATCAGTAATTATTCTTAAACCCTAGAATCCCAAGCAGCACAATACATTAGCATAAATATCAAGTAATATTCAGGGTTGGAGAGATGGCTTAGCAGTTAAGATCACTGGCTGCTCTTGTAGGGGACCTGGGTTCGATTCCCAGCACCCACAAGGCAAGTAACTGTCTGTACCTCCAGTTTCAGGGGATCCAATACCCTCTTCTGACCTCCGCCAGCTGTGCATGACACAGGTGTACTAATATACATGCAGGCAATATACTCATACACTTTAAAAAAATAATAACTATGGGGCTGGAGAGATGGCTCAGCAGTTAAGAACACTTGCTATTCTTGCAGAAGACCCGGGTTTGAATCCCAGCACACACATGGCAGCTAACAACTGTCCATAAATTCAGTTCCAGGGGATCCAACAGTCTCTTCTATCCTCCGCA